GACGAAATATGGCAGAAGCACGAGTCCCAGGTCACTGGCTTGTGACAGTGATTAAATAAGATACATAACTCCCGTCCTAAGGATCTAGACTTTTGTAACACTATACCAATAAGGAGTACTATAAAAGGATCAGTAGCCTAATTTGGTGGTGTACGACGCGAATATCTAGATTGACGTAAAATATCATTCTAGTTTGGCAACTTAACTGTTTGAGATGCAGCTAGGCCCATAAAGTAACTCCTCTAGGGACACCAAACTGGAAGCACAAAGAGACCCCACTCGAAGGACACCAATTTGGAAGTAATACAAGTACCGAATTAGGAGTAATATAATAAGTGATGAGAGATAAAAGTTAGTTGGTGGGCATTGTACAGTAGTATATAAATGGGATATATATGATAAAAATAGGTTTGGGAACCATCTAGTAATTTAGTAATTGGTCTGGTTGCAGAGCGGTTATTAAGGAGGTAAAATCTCATATAGCAGGTACTAAGTTAGTAACCGGGTGAGCCAATATCTCATAATACATTAAAGTGTTGTAATTGTATATATGACATTTGTAACCAAAATACCTTAGTGTACTAATAAACAGTATTGGCAAGACTGCTGAATTTAAAAAAAAATAAAAAATAAAAAAATTATTAATAGATATATTTAATTGGATAATAACTATTGTCTTTTAATTAGCATTTAAACTGGCCATAATGATCAATAGCTAAACTATCAAGAACAATAATCAAATCAACCAATAAAATAACAAAGGAGACAATAACTAAATTTGGCTAATAGTTTTGTTTAGCCAAAAGGTTGGTAAATTGATTAGCATTTTTGTTATTATTGAAGATTTATTTATATCGAGAAATTTTTTTTATTGCAGTTCTGTGCAAATTTGCAAAAAAATTAAATAATAAATCAAATGAAAATTTGCCCAAAACTTCAAATTTGATACTATAAATGCAATTTTGTACAAAACTTCAAATTCTAAAAAATTTTGCAGATTTTTTACAACATTTCTTCAAAAATCTGCAAAAATACATATTTTTGCAAATTTGCACTTATTTAATTTTCCTGATGTAAGCACAATTGTTTGTATGAATAATTTCAACTAATATATGTTTTTTAACAATTAGCTTTTGTTTGAGGTTTTAGAAATCTTTTTTTTTAATTAAGATATGATTTATGAATTCAATATCAAACTTCAACTAATTTGATTTTGAACAATTGGCTTTTGTTTGAGGTTTTAGATTTTTTTAATTGAGATATGATTTGTGAAATTAATATTAAATTTTAACTAATTAGATTTTGAATAATTGGCTTTTGTTTAAATTCAACTATTACAATTTAAATAATTAACTTTTGTTCAAGTTTTATGCATCAATTTTTTAATATGCATAATTTTAATATGTCTATAACAGGTTTGGTAATCAGGTTTTGTTTATTATTCTTTTTCAAAAATAAAGAAAGTTTAAAACAAAGAATAGTTCAATATTCATATATGTATATTTATTTGTATTTATAATTAATTAAAACAAATATATCAAATAAAATAACTTTTATAGTTCTTGACAACTCTTTCTGATGATCATCTGTATCAAAAAATCCAAATACATTTTTTGTAAAAATACAATAGCATATAGTAAAAAATGAAGAGTATACTAGTAGCAATAAGTCGGCAGTTGTTATTTAAAGGTAGTTCTTATACACTACCTGCTAACTTCTTTAGAGTTTATTACTCACTGCATACATGGCACTTGTTGTTTAAAAGTAGTTCTTATATGCTACTTGCCAACAAATTTAGAGTTTATCACTTACTAATAAGTAATATATAAGTGCTTTACCCTTTCTTAGAAGAAGGTTTAGAAGTTGTTGAATTTTTTTATAGATATAACTACTTTTCTTGGGTGCAAGTGGTCTCTTCCTAGGTGTTTTTTGCTTGACCAGTCTTCTCCAAAATTTTTAACAAAAAGTGGGTAATTTGGTTTACTCCTTCCAAAAGATCAGTATTGTTTACCTCCCAAATTTAGACATATCCAGAAATGCAACCATGTGTCTTGTTTATCAGTAGATACAATACACAATATAATCTGTAAATATGGGGGTCCTCTATATGACTGGGATCAGGTCTCTGGCATAAGAGGCATCCAAAAGTGGCCGGTAGTCAGATAATAATTTGTTAGGTTCTATACTAGTTAAGATATACAAACATTGAGTTGTTATAAAATTTTTTCTTAAACCTGGTATGGGTTATAATAGTGTAATTTTCTTTTTTCTTTTATTTTATTTGTATTATTTCTTGATAGAAGTTGTTCTCTCTTTGTTGGCTCTCAGGCTTTTCTCTTTGTTTTTCTTTTTTTATATTTTATTGTACCCCTTTTTATTGTTTTCTTTAAAAATTCTCCTTGTTTTTTTTAGTTAGTTTTTTGTTTTGTCTTCTTGGTATTATCGGTGGTTTGTATTAGATATAAGATTATCACTTTCTTTTACTCTTAGTAAAGAAAGAGAATATAAAGGGAAAAGCTTTGATGGGCTAACAAAGTTTATCTAACTTGTATACAGGTTGGTGCGACAAGTTACATGAGGCATATTTATCAAACCAGATAATATCAGACTTGCAATTGCAAGACTTTCTGTTTAGATTATGAATGATATGTATTGTTTGGGAGAGTTTACTCTTACCAAAATATAGTCTTAATAAATTAAGCACTGGCAAGACTGTCAAAGAGTTAAAAAAATAAAAAATAAAAAAATAAAATAAAATAACTTTACATATATATCGATAAATTGTATTTTTCTATATAATAATGCTTAATTCTTTAATAATTCACATCTTTTGCATTATAATCCTACACAATAATGCCTAATAATGCCTAATACTTTTGATAAATTACAATTTTTTTATTATTAAAATACCACCAAGTTGCTCTTGTCTATATAATTCTTATTAAATAACATTTAAGGCTTAATATCAAAAAAAGATAAAAGAAGAAATTGAAATATATAAAGAATATCAAAGACGTGTTAATACATTTAACCAAAGTATAGAAAAGAAACAAACAACTAAATTAAAAAATATTAAAAAGGATAAAACACTCAAATTAGACAATATTAAAAGAGATCAAGTATTCAAAAGAGCAGATAATGAGCGCTTAGATAGATATAAATCTAAATTTTTGAATTACCAATTTTTTATTTTTAATTAAATATATTTGAATATTTAGGTTGTGCAAATTTGGAATTTTGAATTTTATATAACAAAAAATAGAATTAAAAAAAAAGCAGGTTGTTTATATATTTTATTATTCGTTTGGGTGGCTTGTACATGTTGATCATTAGTTAATTGTGATGCAAGTAAAAAGCATCATAGTACAGTAAATCAGTATTACATAGGGTTAGGTTTAACATTTAATTAGACACAGGTATATGTTGTTAGTAAATTGTCATCTGCATGATGATATAACAATATTAAACATTTTTTAAAAATTTAAAACTAAATAAAATTTCAATTAAAAAAAATTTTTTAAAAAGCGCTCTTTTTGTCTAAAATATAGAGTCTACTGAGCAATTGAATAAAATTTCTAAAAAAATTAATATGTAAAATATTGAGGAGATACAGTTTGAAAATAACATATTTTTATAAAAATACTATTAAAATTTACTAGAATTCAAACTGTATCTCCTCAATACTTTACATATTAACTTTCATAAAAATTTTACTCAATTGTTCAGCAGACCCCATATTTTAAAATAAAAGAGCACTTTTTTAAAAACAAATTAAATTTGTAATGAATTTGATAAAAATTTGTCGAAATTTAGGTTTTTTACTATAAATCATCATCTTCGTTACACAAAAAAATTTACTAGTAATTTTTACAAATGACGTAAATTAGGCGATTTGGTTTAATCACACTAAATCACATAACTTGGTTCATGTATTATAATTCCTGGCTTACATATATTATTGGTTCACCACCTCTGCGCCAACTTGTGCACTATATTTAGTGCACCATTTACGTCGTCAAAATACCCTGTACGTACCAGCAACCCTAGATGTAATACTGGTCTTTGCAAACTTTTATCCGAAATTATCGAACCGTTAAAGCTGAGCCCATTTTATGAACTTCTTTTTTTAGCCATTACAAGTAAAATATTTAACTAATACTAACGCTAATGTTACTGTCTCTTACTTGATTCCTTATTTGAGTATCTACGATTATTAATTGATAAGCAAAAAAAAGCAATGACTAGGAAATCGTTTTTGGTTATAACATTAAAATAATTTTTGCCCCTGTGCTTTGCTTTAAATGCCCTTCCGAACAAGGGAATCTAATTTGCTTTGATAATACCGATAGCATACATTTAAAATTTGTAATAATTTTTATACATAAAAATTTACTACCTAATTATTTTATCATATGATCACATTTACATGGACCTACACAGTGCCCAAAAACGTATAAGACTTTTAAGAATTAGAAGTAAATTAAAAAAATCAATATTTTAAAAAGCTTTATAAGTAAAGAAAATTTTAAAATAAAACGATTAAACAAAAATTTTGACATGAACAAATAATTCCCAAAATTAATAAATCATATAAAGTTACACGACAGGCCAAACCCTTTGCATCGGGGCTAGATTCATTATTCTTGACTGTGTTCGCCTGTTCTTTCGATTCTATAGTTACACTAACCACAAATTTACTCTATGCTATAGCTTTTGTGCATGTTTCATTATGCATAACAAAGTTCTTTAAAAGATAAATACGCAGCAATTTAATTTTAGGATTTAATTGTAACAAAAAAGTCACATATATGAATTACTTTATAAAGGGTTTATTAAAATTTTATCAATATACGTACGTATAAATAAAACGTTATTTATATATATATATGTTATATGTGTACGCTTTGGTATTTTTAGACTTTTTTTGTTTATTTATACTAGAGCTAGCAACTTGCTACAATCAAAAACCGAAGATCTTTCATTGAAACGGTTTTTTAAAGATGTATATATCAAAAGAGACGAAGTTTGATATGATAATTCCGTCAGAACAAAGACGATATCGTCTAAGAATATACATTGTGATTTTCACGATAATTCTTATAATGATATGTTCATATTATAAAAGTCGTAATTATTATTTACCTGAATCTATAGGAAATGATAATACCAATAGTAATAAAAACGATAATGGAAGCAACACATCAGGACATTATAAAATTATGCTTCTAATCACATCTCAGATGGAAGAATACCAATATCGTAAATTATTACGAAGCATATTGTTCGGTATAAATGATAATCTAGAACCTTGTATGAAATATGATACAAATATTTATTACAAATTTTTGATTCATCCATATAACGCTAGTAATAAGATGTACAAAAGTTTTGTTAGTGAAAGTGTGGAATATAATGATATGGTCGAATTTCAACACCTATTGAATTCAAATGTGAATTATACCCAAGAAGTTGTTCTTAATTGGGTAAGCATATTAAGATTCTACTCTTCATGCCAAAGCTGCAGGCATTAGAACACCAAGTAACATACGGAGTGACATATGACATCATTTTATATGACGTAAAGGGGTAGCTACCTCTGACTTTCCAAATGTCTGCACCACAATGTCAAAGTTTTTCTACTTATATTTTGATATCAATTTTTAACTTACTAACTTAATATTAACTTGTTTCTATTACGTACAGACTCAATCGCTAAAAAACACTGGCATATCATTTGATCTTGCTGTACTTCTTGACAATCAATCCATCATGAATCTCGCAAGACTTAAAAAACTCATTTCCGATATCTCTCCAATTCAACTCCAAAATGTTGTATGGAGTCGATTTGATGATTCATTTGCTGATGATATGTTCGTAATTCTTGGCAGTAAAGCCATTCACACCATCCTAGCTAATAAAGATCTCATCTACAAATCTGATAATCAAAACATAATCGCACTTGCTTATTTATATGCAAAAAGTAAACATCAACCTCCTTCAAACAGTTGGAATAACTTGCTTTTCATTAATGACAATAAAAGATTAATCACTCATTTAGAAACATTAGATCAAATTCCTGATAAATCAACCATAATGGTTAGAAACCTATCCTTAAAAGAACTCATCAAAGTTTCGATTAATCTCTTAATTCCACCTATATCAGTTTGTCACCCTAATACCCCACCACATGGTGAACCATCAATAGCAGTAGTAACAAGTTCTTATTTCTATGACAATATTAATAATTGTTCCCCATCGATGCTAGATGTAGCTTACATGTCATCAGAAAACAAACGAATCTACGCTCAAAAACATGGTTACGCATTTATTCCAAGATCTTTAGAATTTCAACAGAATACTCATAATCCAAATTTAAAAACGTGGGGTAGGATTGATGCCGTGAAAAAGGTTTTACCTTACTATGATTGGGTACTTTGGATTGATAATGATGCAATTATCATAAATCAAGAGGTTTCCATTCAGGAACTTTTTAAAAATAAATCCAGTGCAAACAACGATAATAGTAAAAATTATAAAAAACTTAATAAAAGAGATTTATATATCGAGGATAGCGAAAGATATTACGATGCAGGAGGCCCATGGGATTATGATGAAAATGATGTGAATGATATGAATGAAAATCTATTATTTGATGATTATTATTTTATTGATGACAATGACGATGATGATTACGATGATTTTGATTATGATTATATTGAAGATGAAAAGGATGATAGTCCCATAAAGTTGAAAAGACTCGAAGATTATGTAGATAATGTGAAACTATTTGATGAGGGGATACATTTTATAGTATCCAGATCTAAAAAAGATTTAAAATTCAATGCAGGAGTTTTTTTGATTAAGAGTTCAGAATGGAGTTTTGAATTTTTGAAAAAGATGCAAGAAATGAAAGGTTTGCACAATGAACAAGAATCCATGTGGCAACTTTTTAATGAATATCCTAGTTTGAAAGATCATGTATGTTTAAATTTATTTGACTATTAATACAAAATTTATTAATCTTACTAAAATTATTGTTTTGTTTATTAGACATTGGTACTAGATCACGATGATCATACATTCACCACATTTTCTGATGATTGGCAAAATGATGATTTTATTGTTCATTTTGCATCTAATGATTGTCCCGCTCAATTTATATTGGATTATTTTAAAAAAGAATAAGAAAAGTTTTACAATAGATTATTTATAGTATATACACATGTTGTTATGTATAATATATATTTAATGATTGTAATTTATTATGTATTCTTGATTAAATGTAATATATACAGACTCAGGGCGTTATTAAAGTATATCGAAAATGTGTCTGGAATTAAATTTAATTAGCAGAAAGTATTTTTATCGAGCTTGTCATTAAGATAAGTAGGGTAGCTTATTACGCGAAAGAAAAATTTTTAAACAATAAAAAATGAACAGTGAGTTTACCATTTCAGTCAAAAAACTTTTTGCCCGAACCACTTTTTTTTTGCGTTGATTAAAACTTTATAAATATTAAAGTGAATAAAGTATTCCTCAAGCGTTTTCATACTTTTAAATTATGGATTTCGTTATTGACACAAATTTTATGTAAAATTCTCGATAAACTATTTAGAATCCTCTCAAGCAGTGAATGAGATCTTTAATTTGATTTATCGTTGCAATTGAGCATCACACAATTATTAGGAAATCATAATAATAGTAATATTAGAGCATTATTATTGACTTTTATCCAAAATGTTACGACAATAGCTAAAATACGTCATAATACTTGTGCACTATTCCGATCACTATGAAATCGCATCTAGGTTGATGCTTGAGAATAGAGATTTGAACCGAAAATTGAAATAATATAAATAATCTACGGGGTACTTTAAATCTACGGTTTAAAGTAAATCGAAGATTATTTATATTATCTGTTCAATATTCAGTTCACACCTCTACTTGAGAACACCCAAAGTTTTATTTTATTCTGATTACCTAATGAGATTATACGACTTATTGTTCGTTAAATAAACGAATTACACAGAATATATATTCTATTGCATAAACCATGTGTACCGGGTTTTGAAAGTCACCCTGGATGCCTCAGCATTACAGCATTATACATTGATTCAGACCAATCCAATATCCACAATTTTGAATTCCAAGTTTAGAAATTAGTGGAATTTTGTGACGATCACACTCTACTTCTATGGTTTGTCCTAGTAGCATCTCTTTACTCCACCCATCCAGAGATGGTAAATTACCTGGTCATTTGCTCAATATTTTAATAACCATGCTATTTGGATCATTTACATAAGAGTAATTTTACTGGTAAGATAACTTTATCGAACGCTGTGATTTCACTAAAATCGGCTACACATAAAGTCAAAATTTTATTACGTTAATCGATATTTACATCTTCAGTAAAGTTGTTCAGGAGAACAACTTGAATTAAGATGTAAATATTGACTAAAATATTGATTAACTTAGTAAATTATAACTTTTATATGTAGCTACGATTATCGATAATATTTCAAAAAATTACTTTTTGCCTATTAATCCATTTTGATTGGCTGAAATGCATTAGATTATCAGTTAACAAATGTTAAGTCATTTGAATGAGAAATGGCCCAATGATTGGTCACTAGTCATTTGAGTCGTTTGGATCATTTCAAGTCATGCTCTAGAATACTAGAATAATACCCTACCAAATCAAAGCCTCATTGCTTTTGTCCAATAGCATGCCTCCTTTCTAAGCATCGTTCTAAGTACTTTACTTCACTTTTGATTTTATTCTTCTCGCAAGATATTCTCTGGGTACAAATTAAGTTAGCCAAAAGGTTTTGATTTGTACTTCGGGTACTGTATGCAGAACTCTATGGTAGAGGTCAATGTCATATGACTAAATGATGCCTTCTACCTGGGATCGCGATCTTAATTCTGTACTTTTAATATACTGTGCCATGTATAAAGATTAATATAAATAAAAGCATGTTTAAATTTTGGTCTGTTTTGGTTCGTGGAAAGTTAAGAAATATTTGGATTAATTTTCAGAAAATAATCGAATTTTTTTTTTTTTTTTTTATTACTAAATAAGTAAAATAAATAAGCAAAAAAACAAATTATATCTCGTACAAAAGAATTGCATTTTAACATTGTTGATAATAATTATAGAAATTGGAATTTCAATAAAAAGGAACCCTTTTTTCATCAATCAAAATTAACGGTTTATAGATTAATAATTGAAATTGAAATTTATTAGAAAGCAAATACCTTCCAATCAATAACATCGCAATTTATCATAATCATATTCTTAAATTGTTTAAAAGATGTTTCATCAAGAAAACTTCGAAAAGGACTTACTGTAAAATTTCACGTAATAACACTCACCTGTGCGTTATTTTGAGTATATGCGTGTTATTTTGAGACAATTAAAAAATTATAAGTAATTTTTGTATAAAAGTAAACAAACAAAAAATACTAGATTTAGTACCATTCCTTTGAGCTTATAATAAAAGTTGTTCTGAAACAATTTTTGTTGAAGTTCGAAGGATTACTTATACTGACTATCATAATTATTGTTTTATTGTTAGCAGCAAAACTGCCGAAACTAACAATATCAAATTCGATGTCACGGGGTCTGAAAACGTGACAAAAGACCCGAATTGGAGCTCACGAAATCGCGAAGAAGTTGAAAAAAATCAGTTTTTCTCCAAAGCCCCTCTTCACAAAACAAAGCAAAGCCCACCAGTTTGTAAACAGAGAGCCAGGCAAAGCCAAAAGTGGTGTGCTTTGGTTTTGGGCTTAGAGTGGAATTTAATTTTGTTTTTTTTTTGTTTTTTTTTTTTACATGTAATTTGTTATAAATATGGGCTCTTTTTGCCCTTAATAAAGAGCAGTTTGGGTTTGCATAAAAAAGTTATTTTTACCATAATATACTTGATTTAGCCTTATCTTGCAAAATCTAAACCACCTCTACCTATCGGGTATATTGTTGGGTTGGTTGTGGTGTTTTGAGTGGTAATTGGGTAGTCTGTGTCCCTGCTCTTTTGCCAGTAACACTATCTCTTTGTTTTATTTAGGTCATGATATCTTACTTTATATAAGTTATATGACCAACAAATTTGGATAATATAAACCCTCTGGCTTAGACTTTAATATAACTAATTTTGATTAACACTAATTATGCGGTTTTTTAGAAAACTGCTAATTATACACTTTTTATATGGTGCAATAATTATGGCATATTTATATAAGCAAAATAAATATATATTTATATCACATCAATGCCAAAAATATATAAATACTTGCTTGATTATTAATACATCAGCAAAATATATGACCGTAATCTTACGTAAGTTATTATGGCCCGAAAACTTGTGCAAGTATTATGGATCGATGCAGCATATTTTGTAATACCTTATTATGGAATATTACACAATATTACATAATTTTATTTTCGAAATATTTTTAAATAATTTTAAAATAGGGATTTTTAAAACAGCACCACAGTGCACCCCTATATCATGTAGTCATAATCAATATATGATGTAAATATTACATTTTTTTAATTTATTAAAAATAACTAAATACATACTAAAATAAAAAAATTTATCTATATCGTAACGAAATTTTTATTATCATAATGAACATTTTTATAATTGTAACAAATAGCTTTGAACATCAACTAATACATAATCTATCCTATTTAACAATCTAACCCTAACTATTCTAACCAAATGACGTTGCAAACATCTAACAAATCATCAAAACGTCATCAGCATGATCCCAGAAAGATACCACCAGGATACAAACTATGGAATCACAATAATAAAGCATCACACAATCCCAACGAAGCATGCAAAATTTTCAACGAGCAAACTAATTCATCAAAGAACAGCGCCACAGATCCACGACACATGAAACTACTACTGACGACGTACCAGCGTGACAAGCAAGGCAAGAAAGAAAACCAACTTGAAACTTGACCTGGAACATTATAGCTTCAAGAAAGTTCATAAATATCTAGGAACAAAAAAACTCAAAGTACCACACGAAAAATATGAATGAGGTTACGAACAAAAATAACAGAATGAAAAAAAAAGAAACAAATGCATGCCTGAAGCAGAATTCGACACTAATGACAAACATCGAAAGAAAAGGTGCCGAAATGGACAAAACCAACGAAGAAAAACGGACTAACCAAACGCAAGCGAACACCAATAAAAAAGCCTAAAATGGACTTAAAGAAAAATAAATACAGTATTGTTAGTGCAAAAACTAAACTGTATAAAACAAACAAATATACATAGACACCCTACGATGAACAAGAGCGATTCCAGTGAATCACAACACCAACAACACCAACGATGCAAGAAACCAACCTCTGGTAAAAGAGAAACACTGGACTTAACAATACCAATGATGCAAAGCACCAAAAAATGAAAAAAAACACCGAACAGGATAACACCAACGACACAAGGCACCAACCAGCGAAAGAAGCACCAACTAGACAACACTGACAATGCAAGAAAAGGCACCAACCAACTGCAAGAAAAGACACTAGCCGACAAAAAAAAACAATGAATCTACTATCTAAAAAGAAATAAATAAATAAAAAAATAAATACTAATATACAAATATATAAAAATATGACAAAAGCAAAAAAAAAAAAATCGAATAACTTATATCTTTTTATATCAGTCGAATAACTTATATCAGTTGAATAACTTATATCTTTTTATATCAGTCGAATAACTTATATCTTTTTATATCAGCCCTGTGTAACTGGTGATGATCACTAATGTAATATTGTATACAAGGTTATATTAATTACTAAATCGAAAAAACTTAAGTGCAGATTTTAATTTACTTTATATTCAATATTCAAGTGTACCCATACACCTAAAATTTCATGCTAAAAACTTTTGCTTAGAAGTCAAACTACAATTATCATAGTAAAATTTTGAGTTATTTGCGATTTTTCTATTTTCTTAGATAACTCAAAATTTTACTATGATAACCATGTAGTTTAACTTCTAAGCAAAAGTTTTCAGCATGAAATTTTAGATATATGGATACACTTGAATATTGAATATAAAGTAAATTAAAATTTGCACTTAAGTTTTTTCGATTCGGTAATCGACATAACCTTGTACACATTTACGATGTGCTAATTTAAAATCAGATGGATAATTAATATGCGATTAAAAAAATTTTACATAGGCTCTTGTCTGTGCCTTTTTCTTCTTTTATCGTCGCATTAACTTCTACTAATATCTACACTTGGGAGAGTAATTCTCTTCTTTTTTTCAGCATATCTGCATTTGTGCCTTATCCTAAATTATTTTAAAATGGAGAGGTTTAGAAAGTGAGATTTATCTTCTAATGCCTCTTCAATACGGTTAATTTTTTCTCAATAAGTAGCTAAAGAAGTTGGTGGTTGAGAAGTTTGATGGTCCTTATTTGGTGCTATAGTAGGTTGATTAGGAGTTGGTTCTTTTTTAGGTTTAGAGGTAGTGGTTGATGAAGAACCTGTTTTTGATAATCTTCTAACGCTTTTTCTACTTCATAATCAATTAGCGCCTGGCAAATGTCCTCTAAATTACTTTTCATAATAAAATTTAGTCAGTTTCAACTAGTTCTACCTGGTGGTCAGTAATTCGATTATAGGGTCAATTATAGGTTCTAATTTTTTTGGCTCTTTCTGAAGTACCAATAGCTAAAGAGCACAAATTTATCGGCATCGGATATGGTTACCATATATTTTTTATCTTTTTGGTCTTTTATTTTGATATTTTCAAATTTTTTTTTTAATTCTATCTTACTATTCATATTTATAATTTTATATTAACTTATTTACTTTGATTTACTGATTTAATATTTTGTTTAGAACTCTTTTAGCCAGAATACTTATTTTTTTCCAGTTTGAAGATTCATTCCTATATGTTCATTCTATTGACTCAAAACACTTAGGTATTGGTATGTCTTCTATAAGTCAGGTTCTTGTATTGAAAATTTCCATTGCTTTCAAGAAAACCATGTTATGAATGAAAGGTTTAAGGAAAGAAAAACTTGACTGATACTTGTTTGAGATTGGGATGTAACATTAGTTTTAAAGGGCTATACACCGACTTGGATATGCACAAAAAGGCAATATTTCATATATTTATACATATTTTCAATTTTATAAAAGACTCTTTTGTATTAATAGCTTCTAATCCAAATTCTTTCATATTAATAATATTCAATTTAGAGTCTTTTTCACTATTAATTTCTGAATTGGTTACGATCACCTCAGACAAGTCAGATAACTTAAAAGTATTTGTGGATAATAAAGATTCTAGAGAACCTTTAATTGTTAGATCTACTGTTTCACTTCGATTTTTGTTAATAATACATTTTTGACAAATATTAATTAAGTCTTGATTTTTTAGAATTTCGACTTTAGTCCAATCGACAAATTCTTGATCATATCTAACTCTTTTAATATTAGCACCTATTTGTATAATATATTTATTACATAGAGGCTAATTTGATATCCGGAGCCTTTTTATATTCTTGTCAAGTTTTATTAGTTGACAAAAACAGTCTTTCCCATAAACTTTCGTATACACCAAGCATATTAGACAAGTGTTTAATGATAAATATAAGAGAATTCATATCTTTTTACATATATGTTACTTACTCGAAATTAATGGAAACATAGTAGCTTTAAACACATTATTTAAGACTTTTAGTAGCTTCTGTAAATTAAAGTATTATTTATTATCCAACGATGTAATTTAGATATTATATTAATATTACAGTAAATAAAAATTGAACGAAATATTTTTATATACCGATCATGCTAAAAAAGTAATTTGAAAATAATATTAGATTTAAAATCTGGGTTGGCAAGTCATGGGTGATATGAAAACCTAAAATATAACTTATTTTGCATATATGCGAACTATTTCGAAATTTTTTACTTAATGTAAAAAAAGCTGTAATATTACGTAAAAAATTTCAAAATATTCCGAAATATCTTATGTAATATTTCGTAATTTGATATTTCGCAATATTTTGAAATTTCTTACATAATATTATGGCTTTTTTATGTTTCATAAATTATTACGAAATATTACGGTCTTATAAATTTGCTGATGTAGTAAATATGCAAGCAAACTTATTATAACTATGAAAGTGATTCCAATCTCAAAAAAAAATCATATTTCTACTCTTCTTGAAGAAGGTTACTCTAGCTATACTATTGCTAAGTAAGCCATAGTATGGTTTTAAGAATAAAAAATTTAAAAAAGCAAACTGTTGTTTGATATTTTACCAAGGCCAGGCTGCATCAGAATACTTACCACCTGCAGGAAATTTAGATCAGATATATATCCAACTGCTGTCCAAGCCCCAAAAAAATTAATATTTGATGAAGGTGTTTGTGTTTTCACGAATACAATCTACCTTGTACTATTAAAACAAGATCTTGAATCTTAGGTAAAAAAAAACTTCTACTTCAACTATGAACCAAAAAATGCAACAAAACTTTACAAAAAAATATTGTAATTGGACTATCAAATATTGAAAAAAAGTTATTTTTTTGGACGAATCAAAGTTCAAGATTTTTGGTTTGAATAGAAGAGAGTGGTATTGAAAAAACCCAAATTTGCTATTGTTACTGCAACATGTAAAGCTGATAATGAAATATATAGAAGTCTGTAATAGTATGAGGCTGTATTAGTGTGTATAGTGTTGGAAACTATTGTAGGGTTAAGAGAAATATGAATAAGGAGCTATATCATGAAATTCTTAAAAATAAGTTAATTGGGATAATGCGGGTATAACATTTAACAAACGGTGATTTTGTTTTCCAACATAATAATAATCCAAAACATATATCAGATATAGTTACCAACTGGTTGGATAAAAAAAAAATCGATATTTTGACTTGGCCGCCATACTCCCCTAATTTAAATCCCATAGAGTATTTATAAGATGAAGTTGATTATTGTTTGTTGGTACCTTTCTGGTAATATTACTAGTGAAATGAATTTGTAGAATAAGATCTAAAAAGTATAGAATGAGATCGATAATAATTATGTTTTAAAGCTAATTGACATGATGCCTCAATGAATTAAGGATGTTCTCAAAGCTAAAGGGAGTATACTAAATAGTAAATTTTAGAAAAAAAAATTACTTAAAATAAATTAAAAAAATTTATATAAATATTTTTTTTGGTTTTGCACCAAATTATTATTTCACTAAAATTGTGAAAATTTAAATATTTTTTAAAAAAATAATAATTTTTTTGCAAAATTTTAACATTAAATAAAGAAAATTAAAAGCTTTACACTATCAAAGTTTATTAGTTATTTGTTTTACTAAACATGAAATATCATGCTCTAAAAATTTTAAATGCAGTAGAACAATAATTATAGAAGTTAGTATAATGCTTAAATCCAGTTTTGAAATATTTTTAAATTTTACTATATATAAGTAACAAAAAGAGAAAACCTGTAAATCATTACAATAATTAGTGAAATAATTTATAGGTTTTTCTTTTTTGTATATATAAATATTATTTTGAAACTATATATATTATTTTTAGTATACAAATTTAATATATATATATATGTATATATATATATAGCGTATATATAGATATAATATATCAGCTAATTTTTTTTTATAAATTTGGCAATCTTGCCAACACTTTATTAGGATGCAATATTAAACTTACAGGTAAAATATCAATTATAATTCAAGTTACCTTAAGCTTATCTTAATTACAAGTGTTTATTAATCCAGTTGTTCTCAAGCGAATACCTATGTTCAATCTGCTATAGTAAATGTTTATCTCCATACTAAAAAACTCTGCAAGTGAATTCTTCGATACTTCACTGAATAGTATTATGGCCTATCAAGACTACCATCTTTTCTAAACCTTTTTCCCCTAGCTTCACAAGCAAAAAGACTCATAGTCTCCAACTGACTTATAAAAAAAAACTAATACTAAAAAGATAAAGGGAATGACATGAAAGGAAAAAATAAAAAAACTGCCTAAGCAACAAGAAAACAAAAAAAAAAACAAATAAAACAAGAAGAAAAAAGCAAAAAAAAAAAACAATCTATAAAAGCATTATTATAGCCTGTGCTAGGCACAAGTTGTAAAAATTATATACTAAATTTAAAAAATCTTGTATATTTCCATTGTAAGACTAAGCCTTATTATTAAAATTTTTTTGACTATATTGTCTGATTCAGGTTAGTTCATTAATCTAAACACCAATTGGTTCATCATGTGGTGTAGAAGCATTATTGTCAAAACAATCTTGTGTTTATGTCTTACTTCATCTGTTCGAAAATAGAAAGTATAAACAATGCTAATCTTTTAAAGAAGGTAAGCTGGAATGCTCACTTTTTGTCAAAATTTTTGTGAGAGCAGCAAAAAGGTGGAGTAAAGTAGAAAAACCACTTGCATACAAAATAAAAGAGCATAAGTTTCTTTTACTAGAATCAAATAAGACTACACTGGAGTATATACAGTACTAAGTTTTGTTAATAGGTAATAAACTCTGAGCTTGTTAGCAGATAGCATATAAGAACTATCTCTAAATATCAAATACTGTACCTGTCACTACAGTAAGTGATAAACTTTGAAAAAATTAGCAAATAGTATATAAAAACTATTTCTAAATGATAGTTGCTGTTCTAAGGTCCCTTTTCACATGTTTTATTATATCTAGTATAGCTATTTGTATTTTTTTCTAGTAAAAAGTTTTTTGAAAATTTTTGGTAAAAGTGATTGTCAAAAGAGTTTTAATCATATATATAACAATTTAGTCAATAGCATGTTAAAATTAAAACTTAAATTAATAGCTTGGCCACAAACTATACAAAACAGCAACACACCACTAGAGCCTATACTATCTAAAAACAGTAAATACAAAGTATTTAAGCAACAACTTCGCAATAAA